CCGGCCCTGCTGCCCCGGGCCAGGGCATAACCACCTAGACAGGAAAAAGCCCTAGTCGGATTTACGTATGTGACTTTTTTTTTTTTTAATTTCTATGACAGGCGCTGTTTATATTACTGACGGGTTTTTTGTTGTGTTGTTGCTACATGAGTCACTTTGATGAGGCTGAGCACTATGCCGCTTAGATACAGTACCTGGATAATTTTATTTCAATTTTGAAGCATAAACATCCCGTTCTTTTAAGTAGAGGATGAGAAGGCAGCCGATGCCTTCCAAACAAGGTACATAGGATTACGTGTATGTGTGGATGACAACTTTGAAAGATCTAAATCAAATTCAGTGTTACTCCAGGACATTTTTACAATGCACTTCTACATTTACATTCCTGGTATGGAGATTGCAAAAAGCTAGAATGCGAGTGAAAATCCACACATTCAACATCATCCGAATTTCATGCCGCGTTCAAACATGTTTGAAACAAAACCAAACAACAGTAACAACAACAACAAAACCCCAAAAGCCACCTCTTGGCTACTACGAGAACCAAAACCTTCTAGTCTTGGAAGCTTCAAGCTGACATGTGCTCCAAGCACGCTGTTAGTATACGGGATAATGCATATCTTCTTTAAGAAGAAGAAAAGGGACAACAGCCTTACAAAGCGCTAGGCAAATTTTAAATACTGCAAGTATCTGCTGTAATCATCCCTTTCTGAGCCCTTCTATAACCTCCCTGCCTCCTAGGGGTTCTGCTGCTTACATTCAAGGGCCCAGGTCCTGCACACAAGTACAGTTCATGATTTTGAGTCACAGGAGCAAGACAGACGAATAAAGAGGGAAGCACGAGTTTGAGGAAGCAGGGGTGGGCAGTCAAGGATATGGTGTGAAAGGTCCTGGTTTGGAGAGACGTCAATGCAAAATGGCAGGCAGGGGGAAAGGCAAGTTATCAGCCGCAAAACCAGCCTACGTTCACTTGCTGAAGTCAAAGTACTTGGCCAGTCCATTGGAAATGACTTGTTTGCACTGAAAATACAACAGCATGTTTCCATTAGTAAGAAGCGTGACTGGAATTAGTCAGGACATCTAATAATAATACATGTTCAGCACAGAGGAAAATAATGTGATCATGCTGAATTGACTAAACAAATGCATTAAAAGCTGCAGAAAGTTACCATTTACTTTACTGTTACCGTAAGCAGATATTCTGGGCTCCGAAACGACAACAGAAGCAAATTTAAAAAAAAAAAAATTGCAAGCAGGAATCTTTCCCTTAGGTCTTGGCTTATCAAGGATGGTTATATGTAAAGAATTATCTTTGAATATATTTTACATTTGCTTTTCTTACACTGCAGTAATTGAGGCATATCTGAGACACTGTAGGGTCTCACAGCACAAACTTTAAGCACTGGGAAACAGCAGCATATGGAGATACTGCCACCTTGCTTCTCTTGATGGCTGCTTAGGAAGGAGCCCTATTTTTTTTCCTGGTACTAGAAGTACAGTAAGGAAAAGATCAATTGCTCTATTGAAGGGAACAACCTACTAAAGGCTTAAGACAGAAATTCTGCAAGTAGCTTAAACCTTCAAAAGTATATTCTGCTACTTACATACTCAGAAACAGTTTTTTCTGTTTTAGGGATGAATCCCAGTATAATAGTTTTGATTTTTTTTTTTAATGACTCATTCTCCAACAGAGGACTATTGTTACTCCCTACCCCCATTTAAACCTTATTTTTTAATCATGTAATATTTCTGTTGTTTACCAAAGTATGGCATAGTTCCACAAAAGTTAACTTTTTGGTAAAAAAGTCCAAGTACCTGCTTTTACTAAACTTCTCCCCCCCTAGTTCTGTTCCTGCTGGCTGAAAATTACCAGCAGCCTACCTCCACACATGGTCAGCAAGCACTCCGTAACACCATCGTTACCTCTCATGGGTTTTTAGTAAATTAAAACTACATTCCTCAGAAATAAATCAAGAAACAAGTGTGGCGTATCTGAGCAAAAATATAGCATATGAGCAAATAAAGTTTCCAGAAGACAAATAAAACTCACAGGAACTTGCCCTCATTTTGGAAGAATGCGGGTTGCCCTCTCCATTACCTTATACTAGTGGTCTAGTCCAGGAAGTAACATAAGCCCCTTTTGAAGCACGCTGAAATACACTGTTACACTGGGTTTCTGCTGCACAGAGCCTACCTTTGTCCTTCCTCCCCCTAAGATCTGCTGAACGCGCTCAGCAATTGCATCCTGTACAGTAACGCTACTCCCTAGCAATACCACGTAGTCATTTTCCAGTTTTATCCTCCCGTCTCACACCAGCCAGAGCTGGGTCAATGCCAGCATGCTGATCCACAGCAGTAATGTTCCTGTGCTGACACATCAAAAAAGGAGGCTTTTAAGTCAGTACTAGTTCTTCAAAGTATCCTAAGTGAATTATTCAATCACTGGAAAAGAACTGAGCTACCAACAACTCCAGTAGTCTCTGCAGACCTTCAACACACCCATGAGAAAAGTCAGAGCACACCCTGTGGCAGAAAAATGTAATACACAACTGCACATCCAGAATGGCACGACTTCGTAACAGCAAAGCTACAAGAATGGACACCTGAATCAAAAAAGGTCCTTGATTAGGAGCCTGTTTAAAAAAAAAAAAAAAAAATCCTATTACAAGAAAAAGCATACTAATACAGACACTTCAGAATAAGTTTATTAGTGAACCACAGTTATAAAATTTAAATATGTATACAGCAAGATGGAAAATGCTTAAGTAACCAAACACTCCAGACTATTTTGCTGCAGTATACACAGGAATGGTTTTGTTTCTTTTACAAGTTGATCCAATATCATCCTTTAGTTACTCAGCAACTTCTTGAAGGCATGTTTCATGTTGAGACAATAGTTCACATTTGTCAGTACAATATACAAAAAGAAAAAAAAAAATCAAGATCACACTAAACTGATTCCAAAAATAAAAGAAAAAAGAAAAAAAGGACAGGCACATTAAGTCAGCTACTCTGTAAATAGCGCATGGGTAATACTGTTTGTATGTGTTGCCATAGTTCAAAGGGTACAGATTAAAATGGTTGCTTTGATACACAAACATAAATAACATGTTCCAAATGTTGTGGTTTGTTTTGCAAAACATGCATGAAGTCCCCAAATTTTTTAAAATCTTCTGTACGAGAGAAGAAATACAAAGGCAGCCAGAAATGGAAGCATTCACAAACACCAGAATAAGGCCCTTTGGAATTTATTTAAAGTAACATGTTAAACCCCTTCATTCTCAGGTAATAGATTAAGAGGCCGAGATACACATCGTCTGCGAGGGTGAGGATACTGGATGGTGGCAGTGTCAGCATCGCAAGAGTGCTCTATCAGAGGAGGAGGAGGAAGGAGCTGGGCATGACTGGACCATCTCGATCCAGCCCGTGGGGAATCCAGAGGGGGAAAGAAATACCTGAAACAATTAAGAAAGGAACAAAACACCAAAACAAAAAAAAACAAAACAAAAAAAAAACAAAACAAGAAAAAGAGAAAGGTAGTAAATACAAGGAGAACCAAAGGGGAGAAAAGACATGCTGGAAAAAAAAAAAAAGGCTTTAGTATATCCATGCCAAAACCAATAGAACATAATAGCAGAAATCAAGGCTTGTAATTCAAAACAAGACAAATCTGGAAACTGTTCTTCAAAGGAAAATAATACAGTGTTTTCCACTGAAAGTCACAGAAAAGAATACCGTAATAATAATCCTAGTATACATTTTTACAAAAGAACAGATTGCTTTGGAAATCAGGATGTTGTAGCACAGCTATTAGCAGGCTTTCATTCTCCCAGAATTCCTGCGATTTGTTAACAGAGCTTTTAGTAACCCTTCATTTGCGACACAAGATAAACGTTAAATATTATGTAAATACATATTCTGCGTATGCATCTAATTCAGATTAACTTCACAGCACTTCTAGAATAGATGTAAAAACATCACTGTTTTTACAATACTTTAAATTTAATAATATACAATTCCAGAGAATAACTACTGTCAATGAAATACAGTCTTTGCATGTATTTACAGATTTCTGCAAAATCCTCAGAGTAAATTTAAGATTCCCGGCAAATGCAAGACTCGGAATTATGCCATTTCATGTCATGTTTCTGCTGTTTTTATTAGAACTTACCCGTAATAGTTGTGCATTTTAGTGTAACTGTTAGATACCTACAGATGTTTTCTGTCTTGTTTACAGTTCCATGGACTTACATAAAGGAACAGCCATATGATTAATGAAATTATGGGACAATTCACAACAAGCTGCATTTTGGTTTCAATCTGTATGGCTCAAGTGTTTGCGTTTTTTAGGATACTATGCTCAGAAAATTTTAGTTACTCCACAGAATTATTACCATAGGAATGTACAAGTACGTATCAGAAAAAGCACTTCTCTTAGTTAGGATGAAGAAAGTATGACAGTACTTACAAAATGTTTATTTGAAGTCATACTAAGTTATAAATGCAGCAATATCAAACTGTTAAAAGCTACCATCTGTACAATTGTCAAAACACAGTTTTCTTATTCCTTTAAGACTAACAGTTTCATATATTACAAAGCAGTTACAAACTTGTGATGTTTAGGAACCTGAATCAAATGCTGAACACTATGAAATGCAAAACAAATTCGTTACCAAAACCATTTTAATGAAAATTATTTTAATGGCCACTTCCCTCCTCCCATCCCAACCAAGGACAAAAATTTCATTTTTAGTCATGAACTAGTCTTTTAATTTGACAAGCTTTCAAAAAAATGTTTTGATGGAAGTTTTTGGGTTTGGGTTGTTGTGGTTTTTTTCCAAACAAGAAGCCTCTCCAAGTATTTTTCTATCAGGAGTTCCAACAGTATCAAACTGTGCGGGCTAGTACAAAAAACGTACACAACGTGTTTTAAAAAGGCTTTTTGAATAGCATTTAGTAGTTAGCAGGCTGCTGGTGTCTCGGGAGAGGTCAAACGGCGTTGGGGAGGGGAAAAAGGAGTTCGTTTTCCATTCCTGTGTGCATGCAACAAGCAGCAAAACACCAAAGTTACTCCAGTTAGCTTGGTATCAGCTCTGCTTTCTGTTAAAAAGGACATAATACAAATGGAGAATGGAAATTGTATCATAAATCTAGACACACAATTACATCAACATAACAATATAGCCTTACTGACTTATTTTCCAACAATCTATATCATCTGTTCTAAAACTATTTTGATTACAAATCCAGTTTGGTGGTGGTGCTTTAACAAAGTTTTCCAGATCTGCCTATGCTTTATCAGTTTTAAGTGTTTAAATGTATAGACACTGAAACATGGCATCTACAGTCACAGACAAAATAAATTCTGTGTAGCATACCAGTTTAGCCAAATGTCAGTACATAAATCTTTACTGTAAGCATTAATACACTAAAAAAAGTTAGCAACTGTGCTTATGCAGTTCAAGCCAATGTGATTACAAAAGAAAACATGTAGGTAAGTGCATGGGTTTTTTTATAGTAAGGCTCAATCCTAGGACAAGACACCATATATTTTGAAATTCCACAGCCACAGACTTAATTCTGTAAGAAAATGTTAATTCCAAATTGGAGCAGAGAATAATTTAAAAACAAAACAAGAAAACCACTTTCAAAATACAGAGCAGTGGTGGGAGTGTAAAATATTGCTAGAAGTTTCAGTTTCACAATGGCTTACTACCAACTTCAGGGAGAGAAGACCAACCCATGGGGTAGGGCAGGGGTAGCCTTGCTGGCAGCAGCAGTCTTAGATAAGGAGACTGTGAAACCACACCCTATGCTAAAGAGGTGTACAATGGCCTCTATCTCCCTACAGGAGCCCAAGCAAATACAGTTAAACAGGTTTGGATATCACATTTCCAAGACAGGACTGCATTTCAGCATTTTTTGCTACCCTGTAAGTAGCACCTGGAACCAGATGACCAGTATCATTTTGGCCTCCTTTCTTGCTGGAGACCCGGCCCATTACCACCTCTTGCTCTCCCATTTATCTTGTGAGGAAAACGTGAAAGCCCTTCTCTGTTCCACGCAGCTAGGGATCTAGAAGCCAGAACGGCCATTCAGGAATGACTGCTGAAACGGGGAGGGAGGGTGAGGGCTACTCTCCAAAAGCAAACTGTCACAGTAATTTACAGATGAGCATTTTAGACTGAAAAAAAACCGTATTAGTAGCTGTACGTGGATGGAAATGGAGGCTATCCCAAGGCATTTGAAAAAAATAAAGGCGGCCACAAAACTTGGAAGCTACTGCTACAGAATTTGGCCATATCTAGTCCTTACATAGGACACATCCTGTAAAGTTGATTGTACACACTCCACCACACAAATGCAGGGCGCAGTGCATTTCTAGATTTCGGTTTTCAGAAGAGGCAGTTGAATTTACCTACTAAACAGCAATTATTACAGAATAAAAACATAACAGAGAAAGCAAATTAATCTGCAATAAGAATGCCATATGAGGAAAAGGCTTAAAGATTAAAAAACCCCAAAACTTTTACTCAATTGATGTTACACCTGCAAAAACGCAAGTAAACTAACACTAGCATATGATTGTTGAAACCATACATTATGAAGTATCTTTTCCTCCTTCCCTTCTGCTACATTATCCTAGTGAAAAACAGAATTTGTTGCTAGTATTTTTGCTTCATTTTTAAACGCACATCTAAAACAGAAGGGCAGTTACCCAGCAGTATGAAGAAGTTTCTCCTTGTTTGAAACTACTTCAGAAAAGTTGGTTTTAATCATGTGAAAGGACTAAAAGCGAAAATAGTTGTTTACATTGCTTATTTATACAGAATGATTCAGCAAGGCTTAGGTTTTGATCATTTTCCTCTTAACACTGGCATAACCGACACCATCGCAGAGCAAAACTAGAACAGCTTGTAGAAGTATTCATGCAATAAATGACATTGCACTTAAAAATAATTATAAAAACAAACATGAAAGCTAAGTGAAATTAAGAAGATTCAGAGGAGAGAGTATTCACTGAAATTCAATCTCTCTACTAATTAACCTACCTGCTGGCAGATGATCCATTTAGGGAATTCTGTAGACTTGTATTGGCTGAACCTAGAGAGGCATTAAAAATTCCCTGCTGAGAACTACCATTCACTGGACTCCCGTTACCTTTCAGTATACCAGTACACTTCCAGTTGTCCATGTAATTAGCTGCAAATATAGACGTATAAAAACTGTTAGTTTCTCTTCTGAAGCTCAGCTTTTGATAAAACTATGGTAATTTCAACTGGTGTGAATTAGAATTGAACCTAAATAGCAATATATGAATTCCAAACAGCTGAGGATCTGGCCCTTCAGCTGTATGACATCTCTGCCTATCCACAATTTAAAACTCAGTTTTGTTCAGTAGCAAGAATGAGTTTCGTATATTAAAATACTGAGAAACAAATGAGAGGGGATGAAGAAACTGCCACTGGCTTTTTGTTGTTGGAAATTTAAACAGGAAAAAAGCCATTTTGCCTCAACATTGTGACTGAATGTAGATTTTCTGGTTTTGGCAGGAGGCAAAGATAGTAATGCAATGCATACATTAGTTTTAAAAACAACAACTTTACATAGCTCCTCGTCTGGTGAAACAATTTGAGAGTACAGTAACAACTATTCACAGCAGCCTAACTCACGGAAGTGTTCCAGCACAAAGTTATTTCCTTTTTCTGAAATGTAAACAGAAATATAAAAATCTACCATTCACAAATCTAAAATGGACTTTTACTCCAAAATTATTTTTTGAGTAAAACTTCTCTGCTATATTCAGCATACTACAAAGCTAACGTATTCCAGGTGGGTGATCTTACCCTTCCAGAGCCTGACGCAGCCATCATCACCAGAGGAGGCAAGCACTGTGCCCGTAATATTCCAGCTCACTCGCCACACCTGGGAGTTGTGATTATCAAACTGTGCCACAATATGAATTTCAAATTTTGTTAATCCTCCAGATGAAGTCAATTCTTTCCTGTTTAAGAGAAAAGCAACAGTTCGGCACACAACTGTTCAAAGGTCTGGGTTTGAACATGACAACAAAAAGGGAGGACCACATCTTTCAAGAACTTTATTTGACAACTGTTACTAGATTAGGAGTATTAAGAGGTATTCAGACAAAATTATAGACTTGCTCACAATGTTGTCATCTTGAAAATCAGGCTGCTAAAAACCAATCCTGCGTACATTAAGTTACTACTTTTGCTTCACAGATACTATTAAAATGAGACTATGTAGTATGCACCACATCGTACAGAACCATCTTCCTTTTAAGCTCACCTTAGAGGTTTTAGTGTAAAAATTCGTACATCTTTGGTTGCTACAGCTAAGATGTGGAAGGATCTTCCCAGATTTGGAGCAAATGCAATATCATGTACAGGATCTGTGACTGTCATCAGAGCTTCTGCTTTTGCGTATTTCCTGTACAGCATAAGAAATTAACCTTTAGTGCCATCAAAATTGCCAGTGATACAAAATATATAAACCAGACATAGTGGGACAGGGAAAAAGGGGTTAGTATACGTGATGAGACTTGCAACAATAAAAATATTTTCTTAAGATAAATTTAGTTTTAAGTAATAATTACAAGCTGATTTCTTCAGAAATTGAGTACATCAGATATAGTAACTACTAACAACAGTATGCTGAATCATACAACGAAGCAAGGATTCCAGCACAGAGAACATTTTTGTCTACAGTTGGAAGGAAATAAAAAGATTCTTCCATTCACAAATCTGAAAGCAATTTGTTTCTCAATAACTTACTAAATTTTCTGTGCTTGTAAGCAGACCGCTATCTGCCTCCTTCACTGTATGATAAAACACGTATTCCATTTTCTTATTTACCACCACATAAGTTACAACAACTTTTCCTTATTGTTAATGCACAGAGAACATTGTCTGAAGCCAGGCATAAACCCACAAAACACCTTGGCTCCCTTCCCACACCTATCACCCCGAATGAAACACAAGTTCTCTGTCATCATTTAATTGAAAGTGGCTGTGCGTACACTTCCTGGCTTTTTCTGGTTCTGAATTCTTAGCTGTACAAACTGAACTTTCACAGAACACTAGTAATTTACGGGACTTTCTGTCATTATAAACATGCTTTTTAAGGTCACCTTGAACAAAACAGTACCTAGTGCAACACAATTCAACTTTGTCCTATTAATTCCTTGTGCAAAGTTAAGCATATAAATTAGTAGAAGCAGAAACAACAATTCTCCCTTTAAAATCCTGGTAAGAACACTGGCATTTCTGCACTGAGATGGAACACAATTATCAATATTGTGTCTGTTAACATTCTGACGTCTCTCCCATCCAATGGCTCAGAGACAGAATTAAGGCATTAGTATTAACTACTCCACATCTAATGACAGTAATAAAATAAAAGGCTGTATATTACAAACTATTTTAAGATCCCACAAATGTTATATATTGTGATTTAGCATACCTGGTATTTTCATTGTATTCATAAATTTGAACCTTAGCCAATATATTTGGACTGTTGTCATCACTTCCTACAGCTATCATTGGAGAATGGGCTCGAGAACTAAAAGGTGAAAACAAATACTGTTGTATTTTCAAATGATTTCACAGGAAGTACACCAAGCCATTTTTTAAATTTCAGGCACATTATCTATAAAGAAAACAGCAAGAAAAAAAAAAAATCACAAGGAAACATGAGTAAGTGCTATTCACTTAGCAACTGTGAATAGCACAGTTACCAGAACAATCTCCATTCTGTTGTTCTGAATGCCCCCTTTATACACCCACTAGGGAGAAATCACTAGGGAACATTATTTGGCAATTCAAGATGATGCTCCCAGAGAGCAGAATTGATTTTATATATGCATCTGCAGTCAAGTATTAGCCGCAAGCTTCATGGCAGAGTCTGCATTCTTTGCAGTACTTTTAATGGTTGATTTAGTGGGATTTCATTCAGGTTTTGGAAGACAGATTACAAAAGCTAAATGTAGATGAGTTCTAGTTTTTAAATCAACTTTTAACCCCATCCCGTGCATTAAAGAGAAAGGCTGTACTCTAAACCTTCAGCACAGTCTACTACTAATGTATAGAAGAATAACTGGATCAGCAGGACACAGACCACTACTTCTGTATAGAGAGCCATCAAGTGCTTCTGGACTAACAGATCCAAAGCAGTTCAGCCCTGAATGGTTTTTCCCTTCCTGTTATTGCTGGGGGAGGATGTGAGATGGGAAGTGGAGGAGAACCTCTGCTTGTGTGTGTTCTTCTGGGTGGGGACTACCCAACCAAACTCCTCTCTGATTCCTTCCTGTTCAAGAAGGTTAAGTATATCATTGAGCCCCTGAGGACACAAATAAAAGAACAACCCCCAGGCTTTGTATTTGTGCTAGCAAGACTCTTGCGCTTCCTCATACTCTGTTGCACTGGCAAGGGTGCGCATCCTTGTTAGAGTTGTCAAAATTATTACCTATTGCAACACCTTTCTTAAGGAAAGGAGACAGGAATTGTCCCTTTATAAACACTTTCTCTTATGAAAATCCCAGTTAAGTTTTGTGGGATAAATAAAAGAGCACTCCATAGCTCTTTAGCTCATTACTTGCTAAAAATAATTAGGCTGGCAGTATTTCCTCACAGAGCACAGGAGGACTTTTTGTAACACTTCTCAGGCTCTGCCAAGCTTGCTTTATTAAAAGAAATGTTAGCAGCTTTCTTTCAGATCTGAGTAATGTACACTCAGTCTTCTCCATGCACGCTTTAGGATTTATTCTATGAAATTTCAGAACTAACTCTTTGGATCTTCTGCTTAAATAGTCATAAAGCAAATCCTACAGTTTTAATAACATACCTTGAAGGATTCCAAGAAATACAACTGCAGCTTAGCTTACATGAGATTTCATGCTGCAGTGACCACTGACTGAGATTCATCACATCTGGAGCTTCATAAATCCGTACAACTCCATCTGCTGAACAGGTTGCTAACATAAGACCCATATGCTTGGGAGCAAACTTCACATCTGTAACAGATGTCCTACTGTCTACTAGAGTGGTCCTCTTTACCTGCAAAGAAAGGCAGAAAAGCTTGAAGGAAATGCTGGAAATTCCCAAAAAAAATGTATTTCCTAAGGAAGGCTAATGAAAGTCTGACACCACCATTTCATAGGATCACTTACCCCTTCCATCAAGAATTTAAAAAAAAAAACAAAAAAAAACTTTATACAGCTATGAACTGGAGAAATGATAGATCGTTGCACTGATGCAATTTCAAGCATCAAGAGATATACCCACAGTGGTATCAAATACCAAAAAGAGTTTAGATTACGCTCTTCGGGGCGGGGGGGTGGAACGGGATGGGACGGACACAGAACCCACAACACAACACGTAACATAAGCATAAAATACAAGAGTATTGGCCACAGGCAGTTTGAAACTGTCCTCTTCATTCATCCTAGTGACAATATTAACTGCGATGCCTAACAACACCACTTTCTAATTTCGGTGCTGCTGAAGTTTACCATGAAGCATCTTCCAACAGAAGCATCAAAACAACAAGTATTTCTGATAAGGGAATGGGTGAATACAGCAGGCGTTTAATAGGAAGATTAGCTAGGGTGAAAGAGGAGAAAACTGTAAACATTTGTTTTCCAAGTTGTCTCCTCTTCTGCAAGAAAATATGAGTTTGAGCTGAAAACTATGCATCACAACTGCCTCCTGCACAGAGAAGTCAGCTTTCGTACCCCACTGGGTGCCAAAGGTCCCGACAACCCAACTCTTCACAATTATGTATTTTAATGTTAGAAAACTTTAGTAGAAAGTAGAAAACTGCAGATATTTTAGCAACCTAAAACAAAATAGAACATTAGAGGCAGGAATACTATACTGAGTTATCTAAGATTACACATGAAGAATAGCTGCAAAATAATCTGTTTAGATCTAAAATTCCCTTGATGAAATGCTACCCAGAAAATCCGCTTCTGAGCAAACTATTTCCACCCAAAACCTGATCTATTGTTTGAACAATGAAAAAGAACTGCATGAGACAGTTTCAAATGAGCTCCTGTCACAGAAGAAAAACCCCACAACTTTCATTCTACTATAGATGGGAATTCATGTCTGCAAGTTGTTTGCCAGGGACCATCTTACTAAGAAACACCAATAGTAGTGGCACTAATTGGCCTGAACATTGCCATCTAGCTGTTTTCCCCAAATGCTTTAAAAATACTTACTCTATATTGGAATACTGCCACAAATTAATAAGACATAGGCAAAATCAGGAACACTTTATAGTAACAGAAGAAAACAGGGTGCTTTCTCTGTTTCAGGAATAGAAAATACGTTGCAAAACCAGGAATGTCCAGTAACTTGGTATTTAGAACAATTTTCATGTTCAGTCTTCTGTTTAATTCTGGAATTTAAACAGTTTAAAGCTTCAGCCCATTACGGTAAGCAAACAAATCAATGAGGCACAGTAGAGCTGTTTACATGAGAACACATAGAAACTGTAATTAATACATTAAAGTCTCACCCAGTGACTCTGGCCTCGGAGTTTATCATTTGACTCTCCCACTATTTCTTCCCATACAGCTGCTGTTCTATCAAAAGAGCAGGAAGCCAGGACCTGCCCAAATTCAGGATGGGCCCACGTCACACGCCACACAGATCCACTATGCGTCTGCAAGATAACACCAAAACACTATAGAGAAACATACTTACTGTATTAGTCCAAGAGATCATACATTTTCATGACTTTCCGCAGCAGAAGTAAATTCTAGGAAGTAGGAAGACTATTCCTTTGAAACCTATGTTCTTTTATAAAGCTCAAAGTTACACAGCAACTGGTGCATTTGTTTATTCCTATAAGGACTACAAAGTTTTGTTGCTATTGTTAATGGTTAAAAGGTAATTACTGCAAGTGTATTTCAAGACATTATTGATTCCTCCTTTAAACCATAAGTTCCAAACTAAGGTTCTGCCTTCACGCAAAAAGTACAGCTTTGTTGTCAATTTTCAGCCATTACCATGCTCACTTCTAGCTTGCCTGTACTTTTCCAAAGCGTACGCAGAGCACTACTTACCTTCTCCTTTTCTACATGAAACTCCACTTTCATACCTAGTCAACGTAATGCTTTGGTTTTTAAAGAAGCATTCTCATTCAAAAGGTTCACTTGCATTTCCATTTACGGGGATTATTGCATTGCGGTCCTATTAAATACAAGTTTAAGGACAATTCAGAAGCTGAATGCGCTAATTATCCTGATGAAGCGGAGTTTCTATATGACACAGCTCTCAGAAAGGTTTTGGGGGAGGGAAGGAGAAAAAAAAAAAAAGAGGTCAGATGTTGTAACATTTAATAGCCAGACCTCTTCCTTTTTCTTTTTTTTTTTTTTTAAAAGTCTTTCAATATGCAAAAAGGAAATATTCAATTAAAAATGAAGGCACTGTTTTCCAACTCCCTAAACACCAGCTAGTGCTATGTTTACTGATAACAAAGTCTGCCAACATAACTAAGTACTACTACTATAAAACTGCATGCTAGCCTCTGCTTTCAATGAGAGGTATTAGAGATGTTTTATAAAAGCAGAGAAAAAGTATTTTACCGTAAGAAAAACAGGATCTACCACAAACCAAAAGTATTTCTACTCTACAAGTCAGGAAAAACTAAGTATGTTTCTTCAAAAACAAAGGAGAAATTACAGTTATAGCTGTGTAATTTTTATAAATACAAACCTTCCAGCTGGCAGTGCAATGCCAATCCCCATTTTCACTTTTGTCCCAGACCTATTAAGAAATCAAAATACAATCATACAAGTTGTATATAAAGCTTACTAAGTAGTACTAAAAACCACAGCCATTAAAAAAAAAGAAATATACATATACACACACCCCCCACTACACATTTTCATCTGGAAAACTCTACCTGGCTCCGTACGCAATTGCACTTTACTCCCTACTACAGGTAGGGAGAAGAGGCATACACCTGCAAAATCCACTACTGTATGAAGCCTATCTTTTTTCAAAAATGAATTATTAATAGAATACAAATGATTACAATTCTCAACCTTTCACCCACTCTGTTCCACGAGCACACTACTCAGTTTCACTCCAGAGCCCCCATGGTCCTCACCACGGCACGTGCTCAGATCTGGTCGCAAACCCCTGCTGTGGCTCCTGGCAATCATCCCAAAGACAGAGCAGGACAGCGACAAGAAAATCAAGCTAGTGGGAGAACAGATCTTGCTTCTGTTCCTAATTTTTCTGCCCTGTATTATAAACACACGCAAGTCACTTAACCTTCCTTTCTCTTGATTTCCCATTCATCTTTATGACTTTTTTTCTGAAAAATTGTGAAGGAAGTCATTAATGTAACCAGATGGGAGACACCCCTAGAAGCCTGGCACCCACTCCCGTTTGTTGCTCATTCACTATGTAACTCTACTGCAAGTCACCTCGCTTCTGCCATTCTGGATCTCTAATACAGCCTCGGTCATTACCATCACGGCCCAGCTTGGTAACTCCTCCCCGACTGCCCACCTAGTGAGAATGGGACCCACGCCAGATATACCACTGCGGGCTTGTAAGTGTTGTAAAACTCTGCTTAGAGTAAAACTTAAGACAGTCTCATAAAGGATACTGTTATGATTGCGAAGTAACTTTACGTTTCTAAAGAACATAGTTTTTGAGTTCTACCTACCTCTTGGCATCTTTCTTAAGAGTATTCTTTTTAGCCTGCAAGTTTTACGTAGTCAGTCCAGACCAAAGACTGACGTGGCTCTGGCTTACTTTTGGGGGGACTTGGTTGCCGTTGATCTTTTTTTTATTTTGCTTGCTTTTTAATAGGCGGTCAGGGAGAATGGGCTGCTCGCGTGTTTTTAAGCCTCACCTACATTTGACGCAGCTTTCTATAGAAAAGCCATCTTCTCAAGCACTTCCCTGCTCTAACTGCTCTCTGCAGATTACATCTCTTAAGCCTAACCCTGTTAACTCCTGAATTTTTGTCCATCTTCTCACTGTGCGAATAAATAAATAAATAAATAAATAAAAGCAACTAACTTTTTATTCACTAGCATTTTCTTTCCTCTAAAGGAACGTAAAATTAAGGT